ATTTGTTGAACAAAAAATATATATGTAATATTGGTATTCCTAAAATCCTATTGGCCAGCAGAAATTGCAATAAATGTGTACCATCTACTTTTGCACAGAAAAGCAAGAAAAGGATTTGCCAACAAGAAGTTGTTGGAAAAACATCATTTAAAATGTAATGTACTCAAACCAGAAAATTGACAAAAAATGAGGGATTAATTCTAACACAATAAGCTCAAATTTGCTTTAAAAGTATGTTAAGAACTTAGGTTAAAATAAATGAGTATTAAGAAAAATTAAATGAAAATACTGATAATGAAATAAAGTAAGGACAAATGTTGAAAATTAATTAAATAAAGTGCAGAAAACAAAGTTAAACAGAAATTGAAATTGCAGGTAAAAAACGTAAATATGACAGAAATGTAAAAAACGCAATAGAAAAATAAAATATTCTAAGTTTAATTGAAATTGTAGACATGTTTTGAATTTAAATCAAATCAATGATTAACAATTGAGAAACTTAATAAAAGTAAATTACAATAATAAGAGAAAGTCAAGAATTAATTTTACCCAAAAAATTAAATCAACTAAGAACAATAATCTGTTAAGGATGCCGATCTATTTCTACTGGACTAAAAACTTGAACAAAAGGTGTTGGAAAATAGTCTAAAATTAAGAGAAAGCGCTAGGCTAGATTCAAGGATGCTTGAAAAACAAAGAGTTTTGAAAAATAAATGATATATGTTGAAAGGTAAGTTTGTGTATGTGACTTAATAATTAATATCTTCAAAATTAAAATTTATAGGCCTCCATAACTGCTCTCATTCAATAAAAAATCAAATATGAATTACCTCTCCATCCATAGTTAAATATGATATCAACAACCCTAATTTTCTCTCCTTCATGCACATTGCTGGTTAGCCAAAAAACAGGAAAAATGAGCAAAATCCAGCAAAAATCCATCGGTTGTAATTCCTAAAAGTCAACCTTATCCTCCTCCTTTTGACCGGGTCATACTCTCCTTATGAATTAAAGATCAAATCTCCTAATAAAACTGGACTCCTAATAAAATACCAGCCAATGGGATTTCAATAAATAGAGTCCAAAAGTATTTGGATTTTACTCTTCTTTAGGCTGTATAATTCCTTTTAATTCAATAAACTCTCCATTGTCAAATTCACTTCCAAAATAAATAAAGTTGGACTCTTCGAGTTTAATTAATAAAAATGTTAAAGACTCTAGCACTGTATAAATAATCCATACCAGCCCAAGGCAACATAAAATGAACTCCACTATGTCATATCATAGGCAAATAATTTATAATAAATTATAAAAAATTAATGACCGTTCAATCTTTTTGGGACACGTGACATCATCTCAAAAAATTACTAATTATGATGTAAACAAATAGTGTCTTGTTTTGTTGTTTTGATTGTCTTGTTTTATTGTTTTGATTGCATTAAATTACAAAACAAAATTGAACTCACCTCTTATCTCCTGATTTAAATTATACAATTCAATATAGTTTATACTATATAATATTATTTTATATAATAATAGCCATATATGTAACTTTCATTTTTTTTAACACCACTTTTATAATTTAAGCTTCTTTTGGTATAATTGCTCAAATGCAACTTTATTATAGGTTGATCACATCATAGGATTATTAATTATTTTTATTTATAATATAACGAAAAGGTGTTTTACATGACATACTATATATCAAATGTATAATTTATCTTATAAATATATCAAAATACCTTTAATGAAACTATTTTTTATATTATTTTATTAAGAGTATTTTAATAAATTCATAAAATAAATTGTACTTTTAATGTATAGTCTGAATTGCATTATATAAATCCTATAATAGAAAGACTCTTCTTAATTTGTTGGATGATTAGATAATAGTGATAAAAACACAGCTTTAATTATTATTCTATATGGGCATTTGGTGTAGAGATTTGAAATTAGCAGTTACTAGTAGGTTAAAGAATATGAAAAAGGAAAAAAAAAATAAAAAATATCTTGATATTAAAAATATTAGTATATTTAATCAAAACCGTTGACTGATTATGAGTCCAAGTTTAACTTAAGCTGGTTTTACATA